TATGTAAGTCGATTTAAGCGAAGCGATTTGTGAGGAAGTAGACCAGGCGAAAACACGCTGTTGTGAATGAACCAAAGCTCTAAACGAACTGACTGGGAAAGGACAGTGTACGGCAAAAAGAGGAGCACACGTGCATGATAAGCATGTGATAATATGAATGTAACCTTTGTGGAGTCTAGTAATATATCGTGCTACATTACAGTGGACTTTGCCAAAGAAGAAGGATACATTGTAATCAAACAACTACTTAGTGTTCATTGTTCTTTCTTGTACTTTGAACTAGTATCTACCATTACTGAGTACAAAAGCTTATACAAATGTTGCACGTTGTGTGACATAAGAACTGAGATATGATTGTTGCTAGTATGTCCTAAGTGTGCTTTCATAGGGCATCATTCTCAGGTTTATTAACAACAGTTTATGCTACCATAAACTTGAACTAATCAACAATGTAGATACATTGTAAGATAAGTGATAAACGATAAGTCTTGATAAGTGCCACGAAACATGTGAATAGGTGCAGTTAAAGTCACAAAACTCATCACAATACAATGCAAAAATAAAGTGTTATACAAGGGTTACAGACACAGAGCAGTTATTTAGTCATTACCACAATCCCCTGTTGTCATGGTACACTGTATACAAGATAAAGGCTACAACATTCTCGGTGACAAATGCAAGGCATGAGTTGCACCGGCCTTCCAATACCATTTTAGGCTGGAGTGCAGAAGCGCTCTGATTAAAAAGCATCTACAATGCATCTACATGTACAGTGTAGAGTTCCTTGCACTTATAGGAATTACCACAAAGTTTGGAGTAAAAACATTTTAAAACATTATTGAAACTCGGATTCCTTTGTTCTTTTCGGGGGGAATATATTACATAACCCCCGAATCAACTGTCTAAAAAGCTGAGTGTGGCTTTGATTGTCTAAAGGAAAGAGCGGGGCTAATGAACAGCTTATTGAAATGCAAGGGGATTATGTATCAATATGCAATACATAATCCCCTCGCATTTCAATTTGAAAAAATTAACAATTGTTTATTGGAAATATTAAACACGACGCTATAATTACTACAATTAAACTGAGCTGGGTTTCTTTTGCGCCACATTCATGGTTTTTCTTAGTTTTTGTTCACTGATTTCCACAGCCAGAACACAGTCCAAAATTGAACAGCGTCTTTAATATGAATGCCATGAAGGTGTTCCGTTCGTTAACCAGTCATCCCAAAGTCATGTACTCCATGAGGACATGTATTTGACCTCTTACTGCTTTGTAGAATTCTTGCTTCATTCCTCAATTGAATTTCCTTGTAGTGATCTCTCGCCCAGAGTCTTCTTTGTCTGTAAACATGCAGGTCGGTCGAAAGATCGTCGGTGCGAAAATTGAAATTGTCAACTGCTTGCTCGTTGTCTGTGCCCACAAATGAAGATTCAAAATTGTTTTCCGAAAGCTCAATTGCAGTACCACCACCAAAGCTATGGGGCGCCAAATGTATTTTTATTATTTAGTGTGGTTATTTGTATATAACCAAAACAAGGCTGGTTATTTACAAATAACCACATTACAGTTTTATTATTTCTAAATAACCAAAGTATAAAATTGGTTATTTACAAATAACCAAAACTGAAATTTGGTTAATTAGCAAATAAGCAAAAATTAAAAAGTTGTTATTTATAAATCACCAAAATGAAAAATTGGTTATTTGTTAAATAACCAAAATGGAAAATGGTTTTTTAACAAATAACCAAAATGGAAAGTGGTTATTTAATAACTAACCAAAATGGAAAGTGGTTATTTAATATATAACCAAAATGGAAATTAAATAACCAAAATGCGAAATTGGTTATTTATGAAATAACCACACAATGCAAAAATAGTTATTTATTAAATAACCAAAATGCAGGCAGAATGGAAAAATTGGTTACTTATAAACAAACTGGACAATTGGTTATTTAGTAAATAAACAAACATGGATGCTTAAAAATCCAAAAATGTGCAAAGATGGTTATCTACCTAATTTGGTTATAACAAGTGACCACATGGCCCATTTTCCTGCTCGTTTCCATAATGACCTGCAGCTTTTTATTTCCAACGAGGATGAAATTGTTGAAAGAATTTCCGCAGCAGAGCGGAACGGTCTTTGAAGAAATTCCTAGCAAAAGGTACGTGCAAGGCTAATTAAATGGTTTTCTGTCTTTGAAAATGTCTTGCATGCCTGAAACACACTTAAAAGTCCAAAGGAAGACATGCGAACAAACTTGATGTTTTGTGTCTTTTGTCCCACTGACATAGTTGTCAGGGTTTATTTTGAACACATTTTCCTACCACTGACTGTTGATATTTTATGAGTCGATTCTTCCCGCGGTAATGCTACAGTTTTGCAATTGGTTTTAGGACGAACATCATTCACTGCTTTCTGGTGAACAATCACCTGCAGCCAGCGTTCAGTTGCCATCCTCCTTTCTCCATGACTTCAGGCAAAACTGGAAGGAACGCAGAAAATTCACAATCATATTTCCCACCGCCTAAGCGAAGAGGAGCTTCTTAAACAAGATCGACATAAGGGAAATCAAAAGTTGTCACCAAAGATGTAGTATGCATGCCATTTGAGGAGGGTGACATCTTTGCCATTCCACGAGGAACATGAAGGGCTCATTTGGCAGAGTTGGGCCTGATTGGTAAAGTGAGCCTTAATAATGCATGGGACAAGGCACCAGTTGCAATTGAAATCTCGAGTATATTTAGGATAGCTTTTCATTTGGAAGACGATGTGGAAATGCCCTTTCACTATTTAAGGTACGTCCAGTCAATAATTACGTAATTGTCTGGGTTTTCTTTAACCAGCTGTGAAACTTCTAACATGTTGTAGATTTAACTACACCATCACTGAATTAATGCTGGCTGGTAAGAAAATTACCCTGCTCGCAGAATGATAACAAGACCGCTACCTTAGTAATATATTATTCATCCAAACTTGTTATAAATCAACTAGCATTCTATCGTTGTTTAATCCTGAAGCTTCACATTTTCTATTTCGTAATAGAGTATCAAGTGGTCAATAATTTGTTTTAAGAACCTCATTTCAGTAAACTGAAGTAGACTACAAGGTACTTGAGATTGTAGTAAGTTAGTCATTCGTGCTAATAATTACCACAAATGTCAATTATTATCTGTATGAATTGTCAGTTGTTATTTTTTTAGCGGGCCTCCCGCGCGCGCGAAGCGGGCGTGGGACAGAGCCCCATACCCATAGATTATGGTCAACCTCTTTTCGTTTGGTTGTCACGTGGTTGACCGAGTTACGTACGTACGTACGCGTCTACGGATTGTTCGGGTGGGGTAGGAGAGACTATCAAAAGGAAGGGAGGGGTGTCTCAGGCGTGTCTTGCCAAGTCCACATCTATTACATTGGACATTCACAATATGGTCAATTGACAGCTGTCAAAAGCCACTGACCAGTATCCTATGACCATATCCCGGGCTCATGTGTCAACTCATTGAGGTGACATGATTTATTTGGAAGCTGTCCACTGACCAGTTAATTATTTTACTAGATCGCGATCAATGTTCAGTCTCATACTTTCTAGCTAGTTTGGGATCGGAGCACAGGAAAACCGATACACGTCAATGTTGTGATCCATTGACAGCTGTCAAAACAAGGTATCCGCCGACCAGTATCACTTGACTGTATCGCGGGCTCAGGTGTCGACCTATCGAGGTCAAGTGTTTTTTTGAAGTTATCCGCTGACAAGGTACTGGTTATCAAATGATCGCAGGCTCAAGTTTAATTTTTTTAAAAATTCATATGAAATATGTTGTGTTTATGTGCCGCACAATTAAAATTTTGATTTCAAACTGACCTCGGACGCAAAAATTGAGCCAGCTGCTACAGGCAGGGAAGACAGTTGCTTTTATGCTGTGATTGGTCAAAATTTGACAGGTGAGTTCATGCGGAAAATTTATGCATCTTGAATCTTGTTTACTTTGACAGCTGAAGCTGACAGAGTTTTGTGTCAACTTGTGATGTTTTTAACTTTCTTTTTCCACTGGATGTACAAAATGAAATTCAACTGCTATCAGGAGTCTTCTGTTATTCATGGCTTTTGGCATTGGGACTGTATCACTTGGCGCATGGAAATTCCTACATAACGATAGGCCCAAATTTTAACGTAGGAAAAAGTACAGTTATTGAGGCGGTCCAAGATGTTGTTGAAGCATTATGTGACTTAAGAAATGAGTAAATCAAGTTTC